CAAGGAATGAATACTTGAACTGTAAATGGGTAAACTCAGACTTTCCATATGGCGAGGTCAACAGAACTCACGGTGAACATACAAAGGATAGAAAACTAATTATTACTGAGGTTCAGGTAAGCGATTTCTTAGGCATTTTAGCTGTCATGCTGTGGAATAATTGTAAACCCACCAGGAAGGAATTGCAAAACACAACCTACTTATCCCTTCCCCAGTGGCTATATCGAATCTTTTTTTTTTTTCTGTTCTGTAGTTTGTGCCAACCCTCTATTTAATCATTAAAAGGAACGTTATTTTAAGTGTTGCTTCCTCAATGACAGCGTTTGACTGAAATCGTACAGAATGGTGACTTTGCCCAGAGCGCGACTTCCACATTCTGGCATGATTTGAGGCAATCAGAGCTATTAGTAATGGAATGCAGAGTTCCGTGGCAATTTTATTTAAAGTTTTGTTTAAGTTAATATTACATCTGACTAATGTAACCATCTGTATCCAGCCAGTCCCATCAGTGACAACATAAAATCGTTAACCACCATGTCACAGGCATCAAGTGCTTTGGCTTTGGTATAATTTTATGAGCATGCCTTCTTGTACTACTTTATTACTATCACTGAGACATCAGTAACAGCAGCAACTTTTCCAGGCACAGCACAGAACCCAAGCTAGGGGTGTCCTAGCTTTGTGACTAAATTCTTGCTGCTCCTAGGTCTTGGCATGTGCTATTACCTTGGCCAGGAATGTCCTTCAAGTGTTGGTTTAAAGGCCTTCTCGAGAGGTCCCCCCTCTTCCCTCTGGTACTCTTGACCACTGTACCCATTTGTTTCCTTCGTAATATTTATCATAACTTAAAATGATAACTATATATTTTTTCTTGTCAATTGTCTCTACTGCGAGACTACAAGCTAGATGAGAGCAGAGAGCACGTCTGTTTTTGTTCACCCATATGTCCCCTTGCCTAGCGCAGTAAGGAGGGACTCTGGACATTTGGGGGAGGGGACTCTAAACGGTTTAATGAATAAACGAGACAATGTGGCAAAATTACAAGGAGGCAGGGACCCCGTATGCTGAGGACTTCCAGAACAATCTCGTGGTTGCGTTCGGTCCTGCGGAGACCTGTAGGACTTTACAACGGTATACTCACGGGCATACTGGACGTTTCCACCTGATGATCCACAGACATTTCACAGTCAACGTTCCAACCTTTAACTCATCAGCTTGCATCTCAAATCTCTTTTTCCTTCTCAGCGTCGTAGCTTGGATAATGGCACTGTCATGCGTGTCATCACCCAAGTAAAATGCTTGGCATTCATTCTCCCCCTCTCTCCTCAACCCCAGCACCCAGTCCTGTGAGTGTATCCTCCTGAATGCCACTTGGACCTGTCCTGTCCTTTCCACCTCCATTGACATGACTTTTTGGTTCGGGTCCTCTCTATCGCTTATTGAGACTCCTGCAAATGCTTCCTGATGGGCTCGCTGCCTCCCTGGTCTTATACCCTAAAGACCACCTCCCTCCCTGCAAAGACTCAAACACTATCTTCTGTCCCTCTTTCCAGAATTCAGTAAGGACTGGCAATGTGCAGAAGTAGCTGGAGCCTTACTAAGAGATAGTAAAAGATTGCAGATATATGATTTCTTCAAGATTAATTTCCTTTTTGTTTTTCTGCTATGGTTCCAACAGAATAAGCTATTAAAATGCTTTGAGCTTCTGAACGAAAGCACAGAACTGTGCCAGCAGAACACCATAGAGGCTTCCTTTATTTTCTGCTAGCATCTATCTGTGATGGATGATATGACCGTGAATCTTCACTTAAATATGGAATGCTGAAATAATCATAAAATCCCAGAGTGTCAGAGCTGGACAAAGGCCATCTGCGTCCTATGTCTTGAGGCTCAGAGAAGGGAAGGGCCTTATTTAAGGTCACAAAGTGATTTAACTGCAGAATTAGGACTCAAACCCAGCTCTCTGTATTCCTCAAGTGAGCATGAGGCTTCATTTGGATGTGTTATCAGAACATTTCGCAGCTCTGTGATCCACTCCCCGGACCACTGTACTGTGCTGTAACTTTTTCATCTGAACTTTTTTTTTTTTTTTTTGCTTCTCTTGTGCCTGAGTGCTAATCGGTGAGATTAGAAAGTCTGGTCTGATCTTAATAAAGTGACTTACGCTTCAGTGATCATTTCCAAAGGGAGCACTTGGGAGCACTAGAGGTTTCTAGGAGCTGCCCTGGGTGCCTCCATGTGTATCAGTCAATGGGTCCCAAGTAAACAGGGCTCTGGGCTGCCCATCCCCATTTCATACTCCATATGAAGTTTTGTTTTCATCTGTTTTGTACGGGCTACCGCTACCCTTGGATTGGAGTGACTTCGCGTTGAAGAAGTTTTGAAAACTGCCTCAGGAATGCATTGGTGGTTTGCTCCCCCATTTGCGTATTCCAATTAAACAATATTTCTGTGGTTTTGTGTTTATTTTTGTTTTTACCTATCTCTTTACAATGATAAAGGACAGGAAAAACTCCAGGCTTGCTCATGTGGGTGCGGTAATGTGAGTATAGATTGTCTGTAACTTGCTGGTGGACCAGTGCCTGAGGCTGGGGTTTTATGATGTCTTGGCTACGTGTTAGTGTGGATGGGTCCGGTCTACCTAAAGGGTCCTGCCCTTCCTCTCAGGCCAGGGAGTACGTGGGACTGCTTGGTAGAAGATGTGTTGTCTTTAAGAGTCTAGTATTTTTTTTCCAGCTTACTTGAATTCCACATCTTCAGTCTTTGACACCGACCACTGGTAAGCAAAGTGGAAGGTCGGACTTCTGAGAGCCAGACATTATGGTGGCATAGTAAAACACTACGTGGCCATCCATGGAAGGGGGAGGTTGATATTGAAAATTGATGGAATGTGTTCACTGTGACAGGTCCCAGGAGATGGCCTCCCAGTTTCTGGCATGGGAGGGGATGGTGGGAAGGATGTAGGGGCTTTGGAGGAGGGACAAATGGTATGTCTCACTTCACTGTTTTCCTTTGGTGCTCAGAGATGTTGACATACTCTTGATACTTCTTGACATGATGAAAGGCAAGGCCACCCCTAACTTTGGTGGGCCTGGGGCAAGGGCGCAAAATACAGGCTCACTGCAAACTCCCCTTTCTCTCCAAGCTCTTGGCTCTGTCCCTTACCCTGAGGGGCCCTCCACACAAGCCTATAGACACCAACCTTGCTCCTCAAATTGTGGACCCCAGCCCAGAGCATCAGCATTACCCAAGCACTCATTGGAACTGTCAACTCTCAGGGCCTACTCTAGGCCTACTTAACCAAGGTGTGGACTTTAATAAGATCCCAGATGATTCACACGCACATTAAAGTTTGAGAGGTACTGTTGTAGCCCACATGGTCAAGCTTCATCATCACCGGGTAGAAGGGTAACAGCTGCTCAGTGGACACCCGTCGTTCACCACTCAGGCCTAGGGTTGTGTCCATCTGTGGTTTGGTCCATCCTCAGGAAAGCAAAACTAGGGCAGAGGATTGCCAGGCCATGAACACAGGCTTGGGGCACATGGGCAGGGAATTTCAAGGTCTTGGGTAGTTTGAGAGTGGCATAGAAGAGGGAAGCATAGACGTTGGGTGGGCAAGTCCCCTTGGCCCCATAGATTCCTTGCTCTATGGGCAGTGGTGAGGCTGGAGTGGGGCCAGAGCAAGGCCCTGTAAAGTGTGAGGTCTCGGGCAGGGACCTTGTTGCCCCAGTGTAAGAGCGATGCTGTTGAAGGTTTTCCTAAATGTCCATGTGGATGGGGGTAGGGTGGGAGCGGTTCATGAGTCCTCAGGGTACTGAGCCGCTGCCGTGCCTTGCTGGCTCTTTGTGGTGTGGCGGAGTAGTAGTGGTGGGGCCATTATTGCTTTAAAAGGGAATCAAAGCGAACTGTTCCAAGCACACTCTTGAGTAGCTAGGGAGATACATCTGTTGACTTCTCTGTCGAAGGTAAACCGTGGAGGTGCTGCCTCTAGTGCCTAATGACAATTCAATTAGACCAGCTGTCGGCCTCTAGTGGGAGCCAGTTGGATGTGGGTGTAAAGGGCTTTGAACAGCTGCCTCCACACCTAGGTTGCAGGCAGTTTCCTCAGTGAATTAAGAGCAGTAGCTGGTGTGGTTGGGGTGAGGTGGCCAGTGGAGGGATGAGGATGCCATTTTGTATCCACTGCCACCTAGGTGATGCCACGGTTGTGGGACAGAAGCAGGTCTGAATGAAGTCCATTAAATCGCTATCACATCTCAGCTTCTTCATCTGTAAAATGGGTCTAACAGTCCTTTCCCTGCCTGCCTTGCAGAGATGTTGGGTGCCTCTAGTGAGATAATGAACGCGAAAATGATCTTTTGTCTGTCAAGTGGAGTCCACGTGAAAAAAATGATGGTCATCCTGGGGGCTTCCCTGGTGGCGCAGTGGCTGGGAGTCCGCCTGCCGATGCAGGGGACGCGGGTTCGTGCCCTGGTCCGCCGGGAAGATCCCACATGCCGCGGAGCGGCTGGGCCCGTGAGCCATGGCCGCTGAGCCTGCGCGTCCGGAGCCTGTGCTCCGCAACGGGAGAGGCCACAGCAGTGAGAGGCCCGCGTACCGCAAAAACAAAACAAACAAAAATGGTGGTCACCCTACCATTTGCTATCTTTCCTTTGTGAGTGTGCTTTCCATTGCATATGAGTTTTAGATTTAAGTTGTGTTCCCCTTAGCAATGCACAAGGCTCCGTACAAAGCCATCTCTGCCCCTCTGCCCAATGCCTTCCAGCCCCTTCCAGTGGTGAAGATGCCCTGCTGTGGTTCTTGTCTTTGCAGTTCCACAGGCGGGGGAGGAGGGTTTTGTATTGGCAAACATTTCTGAAAAGACAAATAATTGCTCTGGAAAGAGAATTCTTTTCCCTTCCAAATATTCATATTTACTGGTTTAAATTGATGTCACTTTATTTGTTGGCTAGCGCTGTACAGTATTCCACTGAGCAGTAATTATTCCTTTGCTGTTGCAGGAGTTTGCCGAGAGAAGGGAACTAAATCTAAAAGAGTGAATCCATCTGGTACGTATGTTGAAGCTCTCTCTGAGGCCACTGACACTGAAATGCTAATGCTAGATTTTTATCTACTGGTATCACTTAGACATTGATATAATTCGAGCTAGTGCCTTGGATTGCTGAATCAAAGGCTGAATTCCATTCCCTTACATGGCACTGGATGCCCTGCACAGTGGATTGATGACCTTGGCAGAGCACAGGGGTGAAATAGACCTTGCATTCCAGACCTGCCATCTGATTGTCAGACTCTAGTTGCCCCGGCCCCCCCCCCATCACGGATAGGTGCTAAAGGTCTCAGCCGGAAGACTCAGTGACGTTCAGTGCCTGAAGCATTAAGGACTGACCTTGGCAGGCGAGTAGTAATCCACCCCACCCCCGATGCTGCTCAGTAGATAACATCTGGAAGTAGTCTGATGACTCAGTACTAAGTGCCCCTGGGAAGAGCCCCTGAGGCCCGTGGGCGCTAATTAGTCTGCAGTCACCCTTCTTTTTTTTTTTTTTTTTTTTTTGCGTTACACGGGCCTCTCACTGTTGTGGCCTCTCCCGTTGTGGGGCACAGGCTCCGGACGCGCAGGCTCAGCGGCCATGGCTCACGGGCCCAGCCGCTCCGCGGCATGTGGGATCTTCCCGGACCAGGGCACGAACCCGTGTCTCCTGCATTGGCAGGCAGGCTCTCAACCCCTGCGCCACCAGGGAAGCCCTGCAGTCACCCTTTTTACATTAGGGTGTGGGTGAAGCTGGGACAAGCTCCCGGAACCCACTGAAGGCTGTCCTGCTTCGTTGGGGCTCTGACATCCCTCCTAGGCTTTGCTAGGCCTTTTTCTGGGGTGCTGGGCTCTGTCTCGCTACCTGGCTGCCAGCTAGGGTCCAGTTCAAGTAAACTCTTGTGGGAACACAGTGTTTCTACCTGCCTGATGACTAGTACTGCCACTGCTGCCCAGTCTTTCCTAACCGGATTGCCATCTGAAATAGCTAGCTTGCATTTGTCGTAGTTTTCTGATCTTTGTAACTTGGAGGGCCGGTCAGCCCCCTTGGGGACAACTCTGTGGCTCTCCAAGTTCTGCCTCCATTTGACCTGTGCTTGTCCTTTTCCTGCTCTCCTGGCATTGAAATCTTTGCAGTCCCCACTATTGCTATAAAAGCTTTGCTGCAAAATATGGGCAGTAGTCTATCTTATCCCATAGTCCAGTTATACATCCATGGGACACTCTGGGCATCTCACAGTTCACTTGGGGTGAACCCACTCACAGTTCTTGCCTCTTCTCTCCAGGAAGCATTAACCGAAGAAGCCACAGGGGGATCTGCCAGCCTCCTATGAAATAAAATGCTATGCGATACCAAACAGCTAACTGTCCAGATTTATTAGAAAAATCTGGCTGCCCTAGCTTTTTGACAACTTTCTCTTTCCTCTGTGGTCCAGCGTGAAATAGACTCTCCAGTGTGCCTTGTCATTGGGAGGAATTTGAAACTGCCGTGTGTCACTGGTGCATGGCTGAAGAGAAGGCAACGAAAGGATGACCACCATTTCCCCCCGAAAAAACTATTAGGGAAGGTTATTGATTATTTTCCAAATACCTTCCACCTTCATCAGAGGACATTATGATCATTAAAGAGGTACTGTCATGTAGCTTTTTAAAAATAGTTTTCTCTTTTTTGTTTTCTTAATAGCGACTGTGCCCAAGTCCCTCTTTACGGCCCAAAGGTGATGTTTTTGCTTTGCCCATAGAATTTCTGGCAAATGGACTCAAATTGCTACTGCTTTTGTCAGCTGGTGCCTGGGTTTACGTCAAGGTCTTTAGGAAGGCCAGACAAGTTCAATTACACAAACCGTTGTCGACTGCTACCAACACGCTGCCCCTCTCTCCTGTACGTCTTTTTCTACCCCTGCCTCCCGCCGCTTTCCATATAGGCTTGGAGGTGTCATTTTTCTTTCAGAACTCCAGGTTTTTGGTTAAAAATTATGCTACATGTACATGTTAGCAAACTTTTTGGTGACGTCTGAAATCGGGTGGCATTTGCTCTATACAGTAACCAGATCTCCATCATATGCAGATTATCCACAGCATATCTCCTTTAAAAGTCCTTAATGACATGCATTGTGCTTAAGCCCTCAAACCAGTTCATGGGGTTAAGAGGGAACCGTTGTAGCATTTCTGCCTCGTGCATGTAGTGAATGTTGGTGTTTGGTCTTTTAGTTGTGGCTCCTGGACTAACCTTCGCTGTTGTCATGGACCACCTGGACCTCTGGGCTGCTCTTTTGTGTTGAGGCGAGAGGGGATGTTTTGTTTCCTCTTGTTCTGCATTTGTTTCAACACCATGAGCATCAGAGATCTATTAACTAAGAAAACTGTGGCTCTGTTCTCCTGCCAGACTTCTGATTTCTCAGTGCCCAGGTGAGAAACAGAATCCTATCTGGAGTAGTCATTTGCTGCAAGCTCAGAGCACACGGAGGGCCCAGGAACATACACTGCACCTGTTTTGTTTTTTTTTTTTTGGAGTTGAAAGGCTTCCATGAGGCTCCTCCCGTCTTCTGGCCACACTGAAGTAGTATTTTGAGAAGTGAGGTTTTCCTTTCTTTTTTTTTCTCTTGAGATCTGAGATCACTGTTTGTTTGTTAGTTTGTTTAGGCTCTTTAGCTCATATATGGGGTATGTAAGCCTTGATATCGGCTGTTCTGAAGCATCATGTGGAGTAGTATGCTTCAGTTGGTACATTTGTTACTTTAAGAGATCAGCGAATGGTTTGTGGTGCCTTTTAAGATTTGTTTAACACATATTTATCGAGTACCTCTTATGGGCTACGTGCTATGCTGGGTGCCAGGAATGAACAGATGAGAAGGGCGCAGTCCCTACTCTCAGGTTGTCTCATAGTCTAGTGGGAGAGAAAGACATATATCAACAAATGGCTGTAGCACTCTGAGTGGGGTAGAAAATTCCTGGTCAAGGCACTGGCATGAGCAGAGGTTGACAGCAGGGAAATACATGGGTTGTTCGCCGAGCCACAAGTAATCTAGCATAGTGGAATGAGGTGTGGATGTTGCAGGAAGCTACTGGAGAAAAGACTGGAAGGTAAGGTAGATTTGGGTCAGATTTTGAAGAGTTGAGATTTTTAGCGTTCAGAACATGTTAGAATCCCTTGAACTCAAGATGTTGGATCAAAGTGACAATTTGGTCGACATTCTTAGAACTTTTGTTTAGTTTAGCAGGAGGTGGAAGAGAAAGCTATTAACGCTGAAAAACTGGTCCTAGGCCCTAGGGACCATGTGAGTCAGAGGTTAGAGCATCCAGTATGGCTTGGAGCTGCAGCTCTGCATCAGTCAGAGATGCATGTGATGTGTCTTTAGTTTAGGGAGGGGAGAGAAGATTTGGTCTTGGAAGAAGGATTGGGAAGGAAGGATAGTAGAGCTGCACCTACTCCCCAGTCAGAAATTTATAGTTTGATTTCACTATCATCTTGTCATGTCCCAGAACATATGGAAGTCCATATTTAAAAGTCAGTGTGAACACCTCACATCCAATTCAGATATAAAGGACCAATTTGGTTCATTTATGTGATTCCAGTTCACAAGCAGCCATGACATGATCAAATGACTAGGCTTGCAAGAGCAGCCAAAGATGGAGCCATTTAGGAATGCATTGGGCATATGATGGGAGCTGTTGTTGACAGTGCACCCTGATCCAGGCATATATAACTTACTCTGTGGTCCAAAGCTACAAGTACTATCCCTGTTCCCAACACACCATCTTCCAAATGGGTGCCGTGTTATAACAGGCAGTATGGTTGGATTGATGTGGCAGTACACACAGAAACACAGCTTTCACTAGAGGCTTCTCTCTCCTGATGTTTTGGATGAGTTGGGTATTTTGGGTGAGTCTCCTGACTCTTCTGGGTGATGAAATGGGCTTCACCATAAGCCATCATTCATCTTGCTTCATCTCTGTGTTACTTTGCTGTGAGATGCACAGGTCTTTCCTAGGCTGCTCTGCCTTATTCACTATTGGAGTGTAAGAGGTATTGCTCCTTTACAGAAGCACAGTACAAATTCCTCTAAACGTGAGCAGAGAAACTCTCTGAGGAAGAAATGTCTCTAGAACGAGGTATCAGGGTCCACTTGGGCAGCTGTCCTATTGTGACAGAGATGCTCCTAGGGAGCCCTTTTCTCCTCAGCCCTTGGAGAAACATGTACTTTCATGAGGATTTTATAATACAATCTCCAAGTCCTTCTGACGACTTATTCTAAGTATCCCTGATTACTTAGAATCAAAACTCTTCATTCATCCCTATCTACTGTTTTTATCATTGCTTCTTTTGGAATTATGATCCTGGAGATAAAAGTCCTACAAATATCTGGAGCCAGTGTTCAATCTAGAGGGACCTGTCTTAAAGGTCTCATGGTAATTGAGTTTCTCTATTAAAAACAACGTAGGCTAGACCCTCTTTTCTTCGTTAGGAATTCTAAGCACTGGAGAGGAAATTCACATACAACCCTGCTGCTACCAGCATCTTGTTCCTTATACTGGATCCCCACTAGAGTGTGCACATATAGGATGGTTTAAAATTATTTTTATCAAGGTAATAGTACAAATGTTCTTTTAAAACATCAGGCTTGTAACAACACAGACAACAAAAACAGGCCAGCACGGCTCCCTCTTAAGCCTGCTCCTTTGGAACAACCACCTTTTAACCATTTTAGTTATTGCCTGTGGTATTTACCTTCATATTTTACATGTTTTTACTGCTATTCCTTGGTTCATTATTTTAGATGTTGCTTGTTGACTTCCTGTAATGGTAGATGAGACTCTAGCTGTCTCGTAGTCATGCTTGGCTAGTGTATGCTGCAAACAAACCTCTCCTCATTACTGGTGGCTTGATACAACAAAAGTTTATTTCTTGCTCCTGCTACATGTTCACCCTAGGTGGTTAGGGAACCTCTGGCTTATGCTGGTCCTCTAGGCTGATGGAGTCTCCATCACAACACCCGATTCCATGATCTCTGCAAATAACAGGCTGACTACATCCTGGCTCTCAAAGCTTCTGCCCAGTTATGTCACAAGGCAGTTTCCCTCATGTTTTATTGATTGAAGGAAACCATAGGGCCACAGTTAATTTTAAAGAAGGCCAGAAAAGGGCAGTCCTACCACATGCCTGGAAGGAGATGCCCTGGAATATTTGTGAACAGAATCCCTCCATCTTCCCTCCCCTATTGCCCTAATATAAGTAAATTGCATATTTCTTCAAAATCGGTATTCAATGTTTATATTATTATAGCTTTGTAAATATTGGCCACTGGTAAGCCAATGCATTAAGCTTACATGTCCTTTTTTAAATAATATTTTATTTTCCCTGGGGTCAGTAATTGCTTAATTTTTATTTGCCTGGTTTTCTTTGTATTTATTCCTTAGTTTCTCTACAACATCCATCAGATTTGTCAAATAGTTCTCAGTATTATTTTCTAAATACTAAAAACTATCAGATAATATATCAATTTTATTTTTTCCTGGAGTGTTCCAGCCTCCTGCTTCAGTCTGGGCTAGTTGCTCTCTAGGCTTGCTGCACAGGTATCATCCTAGGACTTTCTGTCACCAGTTTCATGTGTTAGAGTCCTAGTTTTCTGGGTCCAAAGTCTCCCTCTGTTTTGGTTTACTCACTTGTTCTGTTGAGGCACATGCTCTAGTAGATTCCTAAATAAAGGCGTATGGGAAGTGTATTAGTCAGCTTTTTACTGACTAATGGTTATGCTGTGGTGGTAAATTATTCTAAAACCTCAATGGTTTACACAACAAGTTCTTTCTTACTCATGTCTTCTGTTCTTCATGGGTCAGCCACAGCTCTCTCTTGGTATTTTTCATTCTTGGACCCAGGCTGAGGAAGAAACCCCTTTCTGGGAAAAGCAGTTCTCACAGCAAAAGAAAAGGAGCACTGACAAAACCAGTGATGACTCTCAGTGCTGCTGCTCAGAATTGGCACATGTCACTTCTGTTCACATTTCATTGGCCAAAGCAAATCTTATGGCCAAGCCAGGTGTCAATGAGCATGGAAATGCAACTCTCCTAAAGGCAAAATTATATAACTCATCATATGAAGTAGATAGTTTAGCTACATATAAAATTATAGGTTGATTTTTTTCTCCCAGAATTTTAAAGACATTGTCTCCTAGTTTTCAATGTTGTTACTTAAAAGTCTGCTGCCAGTCTGTCTCCTAATCTTCTGTATAGGATTTTTTTTTCTTATACAGCTCTAGAAGCTTTTAGGATTTTCTTTTAACCCATATTATTCAGAAATTTTATGATGATGTGAATTGGTGTAGATCTTTATGCATTCATCTTTTCTGGCCCTTCCTTTTGCCCTTTCAATGTGGAAATTCATGTCCTTAGTATCTGAGAAATTTTCCTGTATTATTACTTTAATAATTTTCTTCCCTCTTTCTTCTTTCTGAAATTTCAATTATTTGGATGTTAGACCTCCGTGATTATTCCTCTACTTTTCTTATCTTTTACTCTCTTGGTCTTTATTATGTTCTACTTTTGGAGAGATTTCCCTATTTTAATCTTCCTACTCTTTTTTTCATTTTGATTATCATATTTTCAATATCCATCAATGCCTTGTTTTCTATC